CGCCAAGCAAGACATCGCGTTCCAAAGCCTTCATGTAACTGCCGTGGACCCATATGGAACGCATTATAACGTCGGGCTCGGTGCTGTTCTCCTTGAGCGGCTGCGCTGCAGTCCACACGTGGTGGGGGAGGTTGGAGGCGCCATTGCTAAGGTCGGACGTGTATAGATATGGAAATGGGTAGATGAGGATAGCGGCAACGGCCACAGAAATGATGAGTGTCGTGACGACGTGTCTCGCAGCGTATCGACCGTATCGCGCAAAGCATCGACGGAGAGGATGGTTCGGGGCAAGGACAGGAGCTTCCGTAGTTCTGAAGGGCAGTTAGTCAAGAGATGCGCGTGAGGCCGGGGCACGAGTGCGGGCGGTAGTGTGAGCGGTCCATACCCTCGCAAAGGATACAACAGATACCAAATCATCTGCGGCGACGGTTGCAAGTTGACTTGCAGCAGCTGCAGCAGAAGAAGAGGTTAAACTCGGTTGCAGAAGCGGAGGCGGCTCAGGCGAGCTTTCGAACCATCCACTGTTTATCTGCACAGAATGATGTTGGAGGCCTGCAGGAGTTGGTCGTCGCACTCATGATTCGGTTCGACGGGCGGGCTAGGCAAGGCGGCCAGACGGATGGGACATTAGCAACGGGCCGGGGGATCGTTGGTTGTGCAGGTGTGTCGAAACTGGGGAACGGAGAGGTGAAAGCTTTTGAAATCAATGCGCGCGAAGGAGGGATGTGGGCGCGGCTCTGGCAAGTAGTGTGTATTTGCGTCTGGGAGGAGACGGGGATTGGACGTGGTCGGTCGGTTCCACGTTCGTCGGTCGATCGGGTGTCGGGAGAGGGTGGAAGTGGAACGACGGCGGCGGGCACCTGCGATGGAGCCAGACGACAGAAGACAAGACTAATCCTGCTAGTCCGGACTGGCGGCTTGGAAGACGTTGCGGAAATTGTGTTAGTCGTAAGTCGGGAGGGATTCAATTGGGACGCATGTCCTTTCGTCGGTGCGCTGGTGGGTGTTGTTTGTGCCCGGCGTCTGTGGTGCGGGCGGAGCAAGTCGCAGGCGCTCAAGTCTGGGAGCAATTAATGTCGTTGGAGTTCGACAGCTTGGGCGACGGGAGATGCGGAGAATGATATGCGGCGGCCAAGGCAGGCGTAAATTGGGACGGCTTTCGGGGGGCGACCCTGGGTTGGTAAAGCGGGAGGTTGATGGTGTTGAAAAAAGACGACGTATTTCTTTGGCAGGTGATTGGGAGCTAAGGCAAGGTCAGGTAAGGTAGTGAGTATCGATCGGTGGATGTAGAGATGTGGTAGCAAGCACGGCGTGGCGTGGCGTGGTGGTGTGGGTTGGCCGACCTGACAGGACGCTGCGGGACAGGAGAGGCAGGGCGGGTGCGATGCGAAAGTGTCCCTGTTGCAGTGTGCAGAGGGGATCGCACACCACCACCGGGAACCCCATCCAGGGGTACCGATCTACTTAGATAGGCACCTACCTCTCGTCGATTGCTCTTAGGTGACTGCCTCGCTGCATACCACCAGACCTTACGTCAGGCGGCTCAGGTGAGGCCCAGGTGCCGGCACTTCTCTCCACAGGGCGTTTTCCTCAAGTAATAGCGCCGCATATGATATCGCAGTACCTGAGGTGACTGCACCAGCTTTAGGTGGCCCAAGACAACCGACCCGACAGCACGTCGCTGGGGGCGAGGAGCATGGTACACACACACTTGTGTGGGCAGCGAACAGCGAGGAGGGCGCTGGTTGTCGGTGAGCAATGGGCACCGCACCGCACCTCAGTCCACTGAATGGTGGTGGAACCTGCCGACGGCCATGGCGTGGTGTGTCGGGGAACATGGGACGACTTCCCTGCGAGGGTGGGCAGGAAACTTAGTGAGATGGGCCCCCCCGGGGGGAAAAGATGAGACCCGGGGACTTAGAAGATACCTCGTCTCTGCGAGAATCCAAGACCAAGACCAAGACCAAGGCTTGGAGCAGGAGACGCTAGAAGCCAAGCCAGGGGCGTTTTGGCGTTGCCGCCAAGCTGGAGACGTCTTGCGTGTCTGAATGTAGTGTAGTGTATGTGATGGCAGATCGCCCACTAGAGCAAGCCCCCTTCTCCCGCTTGACGCTGACACCGGCGCTGACGTCTGCAGCTCTCCTGTCCTGCTTCCTGGGGGTGTCCAAGACTTGAGACAAGACCTGAAAGGCTTCTTTCAAGCCAATAATTTGTAAAGGAGGTGCTGCCCTCCTTCTCGCGCCAACTTGACGACCTTCGTGCTGCCGCACGGCAAAAGCCCAGCCCAGCCCACCACTGATCCTCCAGGATATCCGAAGGGAAATCATGGGACGCGTGTAGCTCAGACCTCATGGCAAGCAGGGACGAGAGGAGACGTCGCCTGGACTTCGCGGGCAGCTCCAGGCGAGGTAGGGCAAATCCACGCGACGGGGAAGAAAGATAAGGTTGGAAATTGAGGGGTAGTTTGGGAACGTCCTTGGGGGGGCTATTTTGGGGGCGACAAAGTCAAAATCCAAGTTGGGGGATCCTGAGATGAAGGCCAAGCGGAGCAGCTCACGCACGAGACAAGTCAAACAGCCGCCGGCCATGCGTACCTGCTGCATCTCTGCGTGGCTTCTGGCTTCTGCTCTGCATCTCAGTTCCTCAGACTCGGAGGACGCTACCCCTCACCTTGGCCGCTTGATGCCTACCGAGACGTGGTGGGTGGACATACGCTTCGCGTTAGTCTGCCCCCAAAAATGCCAGTGGTGGACGAGTTTCAAACAGATGGACCAAACCTAGAAAGACTCTGGGACATTCCAGAAGGTCAAGGGGGGTAAAAAACCAAAATGCTGCGACAGACAAATCGTGTCTCTCCCTTCGGAATGTATCAAGGTGAACAGGCACATTTTGCCCGCATCCAAGCGAGAGACATTGATAGAGAAAGAGTTCCTGTCGGCTGTTCTTGGCGCGCTCACTAGGACCGCTCGTCTTTCCTGAGCCGGAGAGACAGTAGAGAAACGGGGCTAGTGGTGGTGGTGCCGGTGCCGGCGCTGTCGAGGTAGTGCTGTGCGTGTCAACACGCAGGCAGCCCGAGGACAAGGAGAACATCCACCGTTTGTGTCTGCAGGAGCATTGGCGCGCAGTTCTTGAACTGATTCGTTGTTCGAGTCGTGTTCACCCCCCTCCCTTTCCCCTCAACCCCATCCTGCGCTTCCTGTCTCGTCTTCGCTTGAAGGTCAGCAAGTGTAGGGGTCTCGGGGGACCGGGCGCAACCCGCGCGGGACACACGGGGTGTTGGAAGCTCCAAGCCAGGTGTAAGTGCAAGCTGCTTGCGGTGCGTACGTGCGCACACCTCGTGGTGTACGTTGCGCGGTTTGTTCTGGCGCATTAACGGCGGCCGCGGGCTCGGGGGAAGATACGAGGGAGCAGGTTGAAGCGGGCGCATATCCTTCGAAATCCGGTCCGTCCAGCTCGGAAACGTGCCTCGGTCCATCCCCCTCGGCATGGGGGGGGGGGGGGGATAAAGACAGACAGGACTCAACCCTGGGTGCCTGGCAAAGGTAATGCGCTGCGGACGGCTAAGCGAGCCATGTCTTAGCAATGCAGAGAGCCTGGAATCCCGTCACACTGTCGTGTGGACGGACCGAGGAGGTGAATGTGACGATTGGCACCAGCCCAGCCCAGCCGAGAGTCCCGAACGCCGATCGATATGCGCCAGTGATGGGGTTCGTGGTCATCGTGTCGTTCTGGAATGCATGCACATGGCGAAAACGGTAGATTATGGTGATTATTCATGTCGTGTGAACTGTGGCAAGCTCAAACCGCAAGCTGAGGTGGCTTTGCACGGCCGGATTCGGTTCCAGTGTTTGGCGGTGGTGATGCTGGCTGTGATGAGACCGTGACGGCGACAGTGAATAAGAAGTCCTCCAATGCAGCATGGCTGTCGGTTAGTTCGATCGGGTTCAAATCGGAAGAATTGAATTGATGCAAGTGACACTTGTCGATGTCGGCGGTGTTGGTGTAAGGCAATTGGTGTTGGTTGCTATTGGCGGCAAGCAAGCTTTTCACCCGACGGGAATATCGTCAGGAAGGTCGGACGGAGCTTCTGCTGACGGAACAAAACATCAAAAGGAAAGGGCGGCCGACGCATACTATATAACCAAAAGGGCGACACGACCGGCATGGGCAGATCTGATCTACTACAATCTATAATTAATCAGATGGGCAATCTTGCAGCAGCTTGGGTAGCCTAAGACCAAGTCAAGTGTGATTGCATTTGCGCGAGGTGCGGTGTGTTTGCTCAAAATCACCAATGCTTCCATCATAATCAGCCCAGTTGATGCCAAAGTCAGGCCATTTCCCACCCGGTCCGCCCTTCTCATTGGCTCCGCACCGCCCTGTGCGGTTCGCACCACCAATTGAGACCCCCATCCTCCCCAAGACCCCTAGAGACCCTCGATACGATACCCGTGCTCCCACCCCCTCTTTTTCCGGGTACCCTTCGCGCGCAGAAAGCAACAGCAACAGCAGAACACCCCTGTATCTCGCGTGTTTTCCTCCGCAACAGCGTTCCCAATGTTGCATTCTTTTCTTTTTTTGCCTTTCCTGCAACTGAGCCGGCACTTCGTCTTCAGCTAGCTGTAGCCATGAACCAGTAGCCTGCCTGTTGCTGGTGATCGTAGAACCCGTGAACACTTCCCGGGGCCGCGTTTAAATGACATGACTTTGAAACCGTGAAACGCCAATAGACTCTCTCTCACCGGCACAAATAAGACCATTTTCAAAACTAAACCGAGAGCCACCTGGGAATATCGGGCAGATTTGCTGCATTACACCTTGTCCGGCTCAATTGAGGCATTCATTGAGGCATTCGTCGTAATTCTCGCTCTCCATACGAGAAAAACCCTCCTCCCATCACACCCTGTCTTAGTCATGCGACCACAACTCCATCCCAAATTCATCCTCATCACCATCGCCGGGCGTACCACCGCACTCACTCTCACATCAGGCCCGGCGCCATGGACTCAGAAATCCCGGCACCATCAGGGGACCCCCTGTCCGAGCTGATTACCACCTTCAACGAGCTCAACGGCGCCTTCATCAACGAGCTGAACGAGGAGCCGAGCCCCCTCGAGTTCATGCGCTATGTCGCCCGCAACACGCCTTTCGTCGTCCGCGGGGCTGCTTGCTCGTGGAGGTCGAACAAGACCTGGGACAAGGAGTTCCTGCTGGATGCCTTCAAGGATCAGACTGTCAATGTCGCCGTGACCCCGTTTGGGTGAGTGGTTACTTATCTGCTGTTGTTCATAGCCGAAAATCTCATCACACGACTAACACGTAAAAAAGCAACGCCGATGCGCCAACCTCCCATGACGAAGAAGTAGTCTTCGCAAAGCCCCATGAGGAACATCAAGATTTTGAAGAGTTCCTCAACTACGTGATAGATCAAGAACGAAGCAAAGACACCACCTCAGAAGTCCGCTACGCCCAGACCCGTATGTTTCTCAACCTTCATCTCATCTCACGGCTCTCGCTTCATAATCCTCACGACCCTCTCACAAACACACCACTAGCACTCAATTCTCACTCACATTAACTCCCAACCCTCATTACAAAGTCACTCATACTCACACCCTGTAACGAACCCTCCACTAACCCACTCAGAAAACGACAACCTTCGCAATGAATATCTCCCCCTCTTCAACCACGTCCCCCCCTCAGTCCCCTTCGCCCGCATCGCCCTCGACCGCGACCCGGACGCCATAAACCTCTGGATCGGCAACGCCCGCTCTGTCACAGCCCTTCACAAGGACAACTACGAAAACATCTACGTCCAGGTCCGCGGCCGCAAGCACTTCGTCCTCCTCCCGCCCCTATGCCACCCTTGCGTTAACGAGCAAAGCCTCACCCCCGCGACGTACCACCGCCGGCGTAAAGAGTCCTCCGCCGACGACCTCATCCTGGAGCTTGATTGCGACGACGACAATGACGCGGATGGGGAGAAGGGCAAGCTATCAGATAAAGTCCCGTTTGCGACGTGGGACCCGGACTTCCCCCAGGTCAACGCCATGCCGTACTCTCACCTCGCGGAACCCGTCAGAGTCACCCTCGAACCTGGCGACATGCTCTACCTCCCTGCCATGTGGTACCACAAGGTTTCACAGTCCTGCCCAGCAGACGGCGAAGGGTTCGTGTTGGCGGTCAACTACTGGTGGGTTTCACTCCACCATGCCAAACATCAACACAGGCTCACCCTTTCATCAGGTACGATATGGAATTCAGCGGTCCCTTATACCCATTTAGCTCCTTCGTCAGAAACATCAGTCTACAAAAGTCTTCACCCTCAGCGGCAAGGCAATAAAAGAATGCTCAGGGGGCCAAACGCCATTGATATTAATAACCAGTCTCCCGGCGTGTGATTGGGTCTCGTGTTTCAGTCCCCAACACCGACCGTGTCTCCTTCGCCATATATACATTGTGGTGATATACGCTCGGATTACCTAGAGATGGTTGTCTCGCTCGCCCTCGCACACCTCAGGGCCTGTCCCCTTCTCTCCCGTCTCCCGTCATCGTAGGCAGATAAATGTCACGTAATCTGCTGGCCAGCCTGGCCCTTCAAATGGGCCCAGATAGCCCCGTTGCTCCGAAAATGAACGCCAAAGACCGCATCCGCGGAGAGTATCTCATAGTACACTTTTTTCCCCGCCCTTTGCCCAAAAGTTTCGTCTCCATTCCCTTACCCGGCCTCGGTTGGTATGCATATAATATAAACGCAAAGACGGATCCAAGGGGTATGCATGTGTGAAGAGAACAAATGAGAGACGACGATCAATCACCGTCGACGACTGCCCCTCGCAAAAAACGACTCTAGAAGTTGAGTTCCTACTCCCGCAACGCAACCAGCCCCCATGAACATGCACGAGGGCGCAATGCAGACAGCCCACCCGTCCACCCAAAAAAAAAAAAACACCGGAAAGAAGCGATCAGGATTAGTTGAGGAATCCCTTGCACGCCGCCGTACCGCAAAGACAGGGAATGCGGTCCAAACTGCCGATCTCACGTTCGAATTTGTAGTCGTATGTCAGTTCCTCGTCTGCGGGGATGTTAGCATATTCCTCAAACCACGAATCAGAACAATACTCACGCTGTGCAATGTCCCGGAGAGCATAAATAACGATTCGTTTGCTTCCATCCACCTTAATGATCTTGGCCGTACAGTTGGGCATGCAGCTGTGGTTGATGAATCGAGCAATACCGCCCTTCTTGGTCGCATCAATGACGGTATTATCGTCGATGCGGAACAAGTAACTGCTGCCCATGCCGCTCTTGAGGTAGCGCTTCTCCCGAATCTCCGAGATGGACTGTCTGACTTGTTCGCCCACGTACTCGATAATCATGTCATCCTTGTTGATGTTCTCTTCCGTATAGAGACCCCAGTTGTGGATGGCAGATCTAGCAAATTTGACTGGCTTCTTCCGCTTCTTAAGCTGGTTGAATTTGAAGGCATCAGAGTCGCCCGACATCTTCTTCTCGTCCTGAAGAGCTGACACGTGGCGACGGTTGTTTGCACGATTAGCTCTCGAGTTGCCCTTGGCGACGACCTTTTCAGCGACAGCAAGCCTGCTGGCCTCAACCGCCGCATCCTTGCCATCCTTCTTGTACTTCGCCTGCCGTGCCTCTCTTTGTTTCTGGACCTTGATGTGATGAGGCAGGTATTTGGACTTTTCGGCGTTAAGAATCTTCTTGACACCTTCGGTTCGTGCGGAACCGGTGGAATTAGAGACGTAGTAGCCTTCAATACCAACCGCACGATCGATAGACCCGTCCTTTGAGTTGAGTTCTCGTACCCTGTTGCGCCGCCAAAGCCAAAGAAGCGGGTCCCCCAGATCTGCCCCTCCAAACCTTTTGCTGAGCCTGGCCAAGTCTGGCATATCCGCAGCTGACATGGACAACTCTTGCATGGTTGCAATATCCAGCTTGAAGTCGGTAGGCAGATCAAGAGCGCGTCTCGGCGTCGTTGAGTACAGGGTGAAATCTACAGCAGCAACAGGCTCGTCCTCCCTCTTTGCTGCTAATGCTGGTGCTGGCTCTGGCTCTGGCTTCACCTCCTCCACCGGGGTCTTCGCGGGGACCGGCTCTTCCTCTTCTGTTTCTGCAACCGACTGTGCTTGCTGTTGCTTTTTCAGAGCCTCACGTTCCTCGAACAGTTGTTTCTTTGATTTCTTCTTTGACTTCAACTTCTTCGCCGAAGCTTTAGTTGAGAGGGCCGGGGTTTCGGAGCGAGTCTCGCTTCGCACATCAGCCATGTCGACATCAGGCGTGGCTTCCTCGGATATTTCATGAACTGGCAAGTCGGGCTCCATGTTATCCAGCGTGACCCCAAAGAGTTCCTCGTCGGACTTCTTATGGCGCTTAACTGCTGACCGAAGCTCAAGGTCCAGTTTTCTCTTCTTGGTCGAGGTCAGCCCATCAACAACCGCAAAGCTTGCCTCGGTCATGGAGTCTTCCTCCGCAGGGCCCCACGAAGCAAAGTCTTCTCTGGATACATCATCGTCTGTACTCATGCGACTGCGCGGCCGAGAATCAGGCTCTTCCGTGTCCCTTGCGACAGACTCTCTGACCTCAACTTCTTCGTCGGATTCGACATCGCTATCGTAGCTCTTCAGTCGATGGTGCAGTGACCTGAAAGCACCGCGGCTTTGAGGAGCACGCTTGCGCGAGAAGGGATCCATAAACCCAACATTATTACGAGCTCCGTGTCCTGTGGCCTTGGCTTTACGAATACGGGGTAGGGAGGATATCTCTAGACGGCCGGTACGACGCTCGATGGGATCTGCTCCCGAGTTGGGAGTAGCACCACCAGGACTCTCGTCACCTGCATCTACGGTAACCGACGGGACAGAACCAGCCGGATCTCTGAGACCGAGTTTCTGGCGCATCGCGACATGATTGGAGGGGTTGAGGAAATTCGTCAAAGTAGGAGCGGCAACCCGTGATCTGATGTGCTTGATCAGATGCTCTGCCAGTTCTCTGGCAACAACATCGCAAGCTTCCATGACAGGGTCAAAGTTCTTAGCTCTTTGTCGCTTTTCCTCTTCCAGATCTGCTTCCTCTTCGCGACGGCGGCGATCCTTATCCTCTCGCAATCGCTGATCGGTTCGACGCTTTCGTTCGGGGCTAGGGGTTCGTCGTGAGCGCGGAGCTGGGGCTGCCGACTCAGAGTCTCGAGATGAGTTCTGCGGGAGGTAGAGCTGCATAACCATATTGTATGTGAACAGGTCGGTGTGATTAGCAGCTCTATAGCACTTCATGGCTTCATTTCGACCGTGGAAGGTGTTCGGAAAGACAATAAAGTAGCCTGTTCTGTCGATGCGAATTTCGTCAAAAGCGAAAGCCTTGAGGCGCTTCTTCATGTGCGGAATTGTCGTAACCATGACGGGCACATGTTCGTGCGCAACAAACACATACGGGTCGTTTTCGAGTTGCTTCGCGATAGCCTTATCCTCTATAGCGACATGCCCCTTTGGCTGACTTGGCACCCAGGGAGGGACACCAGCCACTGCTTGCCGATGGGACGAGGGGCCCTTTGGCGCCAATGGTGGTGGACCAGGAACCTTTTCGGGCACATTAACCCGCGGGCCTGTTGGAGGCGCCTTTGAAGCAGTGTGTACAGTGTGTACATCTTGGGATGCACGCTCTCTTCTCAAGGCTTCTTCAAGCATGCGAGCGCTTTTCTTGCCCTCGGGGTCATACTCGACTCGTATTTGGTTCGCCTCAATTCGCTGCCCGTGCATAGCTTTCACAGCGCGGCGCGCGGCATCAATTGCTCTGATCGGGTTGAGCCTCGAGCGACCGGGATGCGCATCCTTGTATCGAAACGTCGCAAAGCCAAGATAGCTGCCTGTCTCAGGATGCATCTTGTTGCTGCTCTCTGCAATGTCTCCAAATGTCGCGAAAGCTGCCGTCACCTTGGAAAAGGTGATGAGAGGATTGAAGCCAGTCACGACGATCTGTGTTGGTGGGCCAGGCCCAAGCGAGGTTTTCGAGTCGTACGGATACGGCTTGAGATTATACGGCGACTGTCGCAGTCGAGACTTTGGAAGGTGGAAGTCGGTGTTGATATAGCCCAATCGCCCGCCTTTAGCGAGGCGAGGGTCTGGAGGGGGGGTGTCATCTTCCTACTCAGTTTATTAGCCATAGCTCTCACTCAAAAGATGACGCCCCCCCTCCATGGGCGGATATGTTATGTTTGTACGTACCAATCCAAACTCCTTGTATATCGGCTTGGCACTTTTCTTATTGTGCTTCGACAGGGTCCGGTCGTTAAATGGATCATATGTGCATTTGATGCCTTTCGTGGTTCGAGAAAGATCTCGCGCAGGAGTGCGCTCAATGGGTGAGGGCTCCGGGAGCGAGCCGTTCAGGCGGGATAATGGGGTATTGCGGGAGGCCGATGCCTCATCCCGATCGATGGTTTGTGCGTGGACCATGTTCGTCTTCGGCAGGCCAGCATTTCCCGAGTATGAAGGTGATTCTATTGAGGTGAGCGGCGTGCCGCTGGTGGTGGGTATATGAGATGAGCCGTTCGGGGCGGCCTGTCGCGCAGAGGTGCTGAAGACGGAGGAAGAGCCAGTGCTCGCGTAAGAGCTCGCAGATCCAACGGCGTTGAGTGTATCTCCTAAAGGCGACTCATGGCCATCGGCCGGCTGTTGAGAGGAGTCGGAGAGTAGGCCATCAGTACCAGATGGCGCTCGGGCGCTTGTGCCGTTGAGCGAAGCGGTAGCACCACTTTTCTGGCCAACAAGCAGGCCACTGGTAGCAGGAGTATCTTGTGTCTTGGCCTTGGCCTTTTCTCTCTCGGTGGCCCTGTCCCTGGCAGCACGTGGTGCGGCAGGAAAGAATTGCGCGAAGCTCGCCGACGGTTGGCGGGTCATCGTGAGGTGTATCTGTCTCTACCACTCCCGCCTGCGACCGACCATCGTCTCTTGCGTGTCGGGTGCTTCAGAGGGCAGAGGGCATCGCTGGAGACAACAGCGGCAGGAGCGTGGCGGGAGACAGATGCGCGATGTTGAGGTTCACGCGACCGAGGAGGAGTCGACACCGACACGGGCGGTTGGCGGCTGGCGGGCTAGCAAGGGGGGCAATAGCCTAACTGCGTCATCCAAGGATGGAGATACCCAGTCGCGAATGGTTCGACTTCGACGCAGTCAATCTGCGAAGGTCGTAGATGGAAGCGGTGTGCCGTGCGATGCGATCGACGAAAGGCGAGGGCGGGAAAAAAATAGAGCAGTGAGGTCAGAAAGTTGGAGGTTGAAGAGTGTCCAAACTCTTTCAGGGATGCGATTTAGCGGAGACCAGCACGGAACAAGGCGAGGGAGAGCACCGTTGCAGCATGGGTATCCGTAAATTGCTTTGGTTCAGGCACCTCTGGCGGGTGGTAGAGTCAAGGTACTGCTCACCGCATTCCTGTCGCCAGGTACACTCGAATACCTCCAAGTGGACTGGTGGACACTGGTTGGCAGCTGGCACGTGACAAACTTCGGGTCCCGACGCGTAGAACCTTTTGCGCGTTTCTCACCAAAGATACAGGGGTGTCAAAGAAGCTACCCCGTCACTTTGGCGTCATGAGCCAATGAGAGAATTCGGCTTAATTGTTCAAGATAATTCCCAAGACTATCATTGTTTACTGCTCAACAGTCTATCAATTCGTGTGAGCCCCCAAGTAGCTAACTGGAATCAACCAATACATTCCGGTAAGGTAGAGCCAAACTGGCCAGCAACTAAAATAGAAGCAGCTAAGACTTCGCGTCCAAAGGACATGGGCCCTCTTTCGTCTGCCACCTCCCTGCAGCAAAGTCATTCATGGGTTTGACAAAGTAAATACATTCATACAAGCCTTGGCTGCCTGCCATTCGGCCTCTTCAATCTTTCCTGCAGTCGTGATATTGTAGGCTCACGATGCCATCCAAACGCCTTCTAGTCCGTAACCATTCCATAAAGTTTTACAAGTGAGGGTAATCCTGTCCAAACGCCAACCAAGAGACCAGTGTCTACAAGTTCAAGTTCATCTCGAACTCATCATCTTCAAAGTCCTCGTTCTTGGGACCAGCATTGCCGAGGACATCGTTCTCGTCGTCTCCGGCCGGATCAAAGATGGAGAGGAACTGGAGGCGGCCAAGTTCCTCAGCGTCCTCGGCGTGTCCGTCCGGCTTCTTTGGGGATGCCTCACGTCGGACGACAGTCTTCCGGGGAACAAGTGTGGAGACATCCATTGACGCAGGTCGCGCTCCTGCGGCAGGCCTGGCTCGTCCACTGACGAAGGACGAGGCCGAACGACCCTTGTTGTAGCCAATGGTACTTCTGGAGGCCGCTTCGCCAACGGCACTCTCTGCGTTGGAGGACTTGGAGGCCAGAGCTGCTCTGGCAGGCCTAGTGCGGGGAATAATAGACGAGAGGGGTCTTCTGGCCGTGGTGGTGGGCTCAACGGGCTTCCTCTGCTTGATGGTAGAGCCGGTGGCCATCGACAAAGCGGATGCAGCCCTTCGAGAGGCGATGGTAGGAGGATACTTGCCTCCCACAGTCTTCTTTGCAACGGCTGGATTGGGGGCAGGGGTGGGAGCCTTCCTGCGGCCAAAAGCTGCCGTCTCGGGGACGTCAGCAACGGACCAGTCCATCTCTTGGATGTCCCGGAGAATACGGTCGTCGGTCTCCTTCAGGGCCTTCTTGAGCTTCTGTTGCTGCTGTCTGTCCTGAAGTCTGACACCGTCCTCGCCCATAGGGTTGTAGAAGTGGTTGTAGTAGCCCTTGAGCAAGTTCTCTGGCTTCAGCCCCTCGAAAGTCAAGTCTCCCTCAATAATGTCAGACTGGTAGGGCAAGTCTTTGGCCGGGGGCGGCGCATATTCCACGTCAGGCTCATCCGCAGGGCCAGCTTGGTCGTTTCGCACCTCGAGCTTGAGGGGAGCAGCGCCGGGAGACCGCTGCTTCAGCTTCTTGGTGGTCGTGGGCTTCGTCTGGGTCTTCTCAAAGTCCTTGGCAATGTCCTTCACTCCGGTGTTCTGGGTGCTCTTTGCCTTTGCGTTGGTGGTTTTGTTTCCAAGTGGCGCCCGAGCACGTGTCTCTGCCAAAACATCAGTCTCTTTCTTTTCCTAAGACAGTCATCTCAGAGGCATACCGGAGGGAGTGACGAGGTTCTGCTTCTTGGCGGTGCCCTGAATAGGTCCGTTCGCATTGGACTTGGGTGCAAGCACCGACTTGCCTGCGTTGACGGCATTCTCATCATTGAGGGGAATTTTCAAAGGCGTCTTCGGGTATCGGGCTCCAGGGGTCTTGGGAGCCATTTGGCTCTTTCCGGGGGCAAGTCGAGCAGCCTGGGCCGCGTTGACGGCGTTCTCGTCTCGGATCGACAACATTGTCCCTAGAGCCAGATGGCGGAGTTGTCGATAGTTGGATGCGTTCGTAGTTTCGCTGCGGTGGTGAGTGTTGTCGTCGTGTGCCGTCTATCGTGGTATTGTCATCACCTGTCTTGTCGTTCGTTCGAGACTATTGCGTCGTCAAGAGGCGAATGGGGGGGCTAAACGGATTTGTCTGTTTGGTGGCGTTGACCGGGAAACGAAGCGCAGAAGCTCAGACCTAGCGTCCACGCCATGAATGAGAGTGTCCAGTGCTCTCGGCTCTCACAATGGAATGAATGCCACCGCCGCACCGCGACCTGCACCGTGCCACAGAACCCCACTCCACCTGACCCGACCCCACCGCCCGTGCCAGAGCTAATCCAATTGCAGCTGCCTTTGAGCGTGTGAAGATCAGGCCTGGCTGTCCACTCAGCAGGAATTGCTTGCCCCTGGCACCGGCGCTGGCTGGGGCTGCTGGCACGCTGAGGGTGGTCCGCCACGGGTCGCAGCTGGAGCGAACTTGCATGTAGAGGGGCAGTTATTTCAACACCTCACACCCTTTCCTCCCGCTTCCATCCCCCGACAGTTGCGATTCCACGTTCCCCGATCACGTCTCATTCCCAACTACAACAAACTGCTTATCGCATTCTTCTTGCACCGAACTCAACCTCCCTCAACCACCACAAAGTCTTTCGCAGCTCAACACCATCACCATGGATCGCATCAAGGAGGTAAGTCTTCCCCTCACGTCCGAGCCCCACCATGCTGCCACCGGCGGTCTGGAGGGGTAAGATGTCGCCTCCCGAAAGCTGCCGTGAGATCATTGCTGACGACGTCTCTCTTTACCTCTCAACAGAAGATGAACTCCCTCCGTCTGGAGGCCGACGAGTCTGCCGCCAAGGTTGAGGAGCTCCAGGCCAGAGTCAAGACGCTCGAGCAGGAGAACCTGGCCAAGGAGCAGGAGATCACCTCCCTCCAGCACAAGAACGGCCTGCTCGAGGGCGAGGTCGAGAAGCTTGAGACTGCAGTTAAGGACTTCAAGAAGGCTGCCGACGAGAGCGCTGGTACTGGCACACAAAACGAGACTCTTCAGCGAAGACTCCAGCTCCTCGAGGAGGAGGCCGAGGAGGCGGACAAGACCCTTCGCGAAGCCAACGAGAAGTACGTTCTGGACCCTGTCATCGAACCGTCCAAATATCCCCCCCCCCCCCCCCCCCCTTTTCCCTAGTCTTCAACCACCCCCCGACCGACCCCCCTTTCGTGTTCATTAAAACCCGCCCCACCGATGAATCTCGTTACTTACACCGTCTTTTTCCACAGGCTCCGACAAACCGACGTCAAGGCCGGCCACTTCGAGCGCAAGGTCCAGGCTCTCGAGTCGGAGCGCGACCAGTGGGAGTCCAAGTACGAGGAGATGTCCAAGAAGTACACCCAAGTCCAGAAGGAGCTCGAGGACTTCCAGAACGAGATTGGCAACATCTAAGCCTGTGTCTCTCACGGGGGAGTCAATTCGTGCAAGGCTTTTTCGTTGTGATAGATTTCTGGCCTGGAACACCTCGCTTGGGGGACCTGAGCAAGCGGTCCCGATAGCGGTGGATTGCAAGTGACGGGACGTTTTGCGACCGAGTTATAGCAGCCTTGTTTTTACTCCTTTTTTTGTAACCCCCGTCAAGAAGAGTCCTGTTCTGCCTGAAATGCCTCGGTCTATGAAAGTCTCGAGGAGAAAACACAAGCATCTCGTCGAACCACGCTGGGCGTGTGAGGTATCTTATTGGCAGTTCCTGAACCACAAATCCGAGTTTATACCCTCCTTATTTCTTGAACTTGGCCTTCTTCTTGGCCTTCAGCTTCCTGTCGCCAACTTGTCTCTCCAGCTTTGACTCGTAGCGAAACTTGGGCTTCTTTGGCCTGTCCTTAAACGTCTTCTTCTTCGCCGCCGGCTTGTCCGCTGCAGGATTTTCTGTCTTGTCCTTGTCTTCGTCATTCGCTTCCTCGTCGCTGTCTTGGTTGAGCTTCTCGAGACCGTCTCGTGTGACGGCGATGGCCTCAACCTTGACCGTGGTATACCGATCTTCGTCTATGTACTCGTCTTCGTAGTCCACGATGTCTGTCTGCGCCGCTTGCTCCTTGCCCTGGTCTTCAATGCCGTCCCACTCTTCAAAGTCTGAAATTTCCTGGTCGTTGTCTGAGTCCGCGGCCTGCGCCTCTTGGAGCAGTGCGTTGACGGCCTTGACATGCTCCTCGACTTCCTTTTGCCGTTCTTGCTTTACCTGTGATTGCCTCGTATTAGCGACATTCACCTGAAACGAGGCAACGATGACCAAGACAGATCCTTACCTGTTTTCTCATCTCGATCTTCTCCTCCCTCGCCTTCTTGGCCGCCTGCTCCTGCGCAAACTTTACGCGCTGCAGCTTGCGCTTGTGAAAACCGGTCAAGTAATCCTGCCGCGCATCGAAATCGAAGTTGACTTCCTCGACCGCGGACTCGGCCTTGCGCTTCTTGGGCGGCGGCGGCAGCGCGGACTTTTTCGGTCGGGGTCTGGCGAACATGGTTGGTTTGTGGTGGTGGTGTTGCTGTTTCTGAAATCGGGGTTTGCGGTCGCGGATTCGTTCGTGGTGGTGGTCTTGGACCTTGGACTGAAATTTTTAGAGCGGCGAACTTGCAGCCTTGCAGGTGCCCGGGTTGGGGGCTGGGGGAGGGACCCTGCCGCTGCGGCCTCTGTAGGGTCCACTGATGCGGGCCAAGCCGAGGAGCTAAATGCGCTGGAGGGACCTCGCTCGACCTGCATCTGTCAGTGAGACCAGGTGACATCGGCATTGGTTTACTGGATTCTGCCCCTGTCGGAAGTCTTTCAGCGTTGGCCGATGTAAGGCAACCGTTTGCCTGTACAAGCTGGGAAACGGATCAAGCTATCAATGGCAATCGTATTGTTTCAATTCATACCGTATCATTCCGTGTCCAGACCAAAGAACTAATAGCAAGACGGACAGTTGTACTTTATTCCTGAATTTACTGAGCCTTTTGTTAAGGAACTTCGATCAGATTTGAAGTATCCTTCGTACTTCATTTTTGTACAGCTCAACTCACCAAGACGGTGTCACACAATTCGATCGTGAAGGAATGCTATTGAGCCCTACCTTGGTCTTCTGTTTATGCAATCACCTGCTGCACACTCTCCTGTCTTGCGACCACCCTCACAACAACCAGGAAGCTCAGATATCTATCTGGGCTACATCTCTATGTTGAAAGGGAATTTTCCCCTGACGAGGCCATATCTAGAAGTACAGACAAGAAAACAAACCGCTTCGAGAACAAAACAACACATTTATCGAGACAAAGAAAGAACGAAACAGAGACACGATGATATCCAGGCTTGATGCATGTATCCGAGTCTACAGATGTATCATAGTACGACCAAATATGCATCTATCAGATTGCTGCGGATCATGATTACGTAAGGCTCAAACGTTCGAAGCTCAGGTAAGGTACCTTGGCCATGCGTCGTCCTGCAGCCAGCGTACGTCCAGCAGCACTACGAAGACATCGCATCGAAGACCAGGCTCATCTTCGAACAGCAATCCCCCAAACAGCCAGCCATGCGTCTTTCAAGAACAGCAGGCCTGATGGCCTTCTGCGCCACGGCGCAAGCCTTCACCGACTCCTCTCCCTTCGTCATGCTCTCGACCGCAGAGTACGTCCCCGAACAACATCCGCCCCTCGACTCGACATCATGCTAACCCATCGATCTCTCCAGCTTCGCGAAGTCCGCCTCCAACGCCGCCCAGCTCCAGACCGAGTCCCAGGTCCTCGAGTCCGTTCAGAACCTCCTCTCCTCCTGCCCGACCGACCGCTACCTCGTCGTCTCCCAGCCAAACGCCAACGCGGCCGACATTCGCGGCCCTGACGGCGGCGACTGCCGCTCCCCCAACCTCTGCCGCGCAATCTCTTCCAAGGATATCCGCGGCGTGTACAGCGTTGCAGAGGTCGTAGGCGAGGTCAAGGTCGACAGCGTCGCCGAGTACCTCCACAAGGCGTGCGGCAGCAAGAAGATCGAGATCGACCAGACGAGGCTCGCGCCCCTTGGCCGCGACGCCAGCGAGAGAGCCTCCACGCTCGCCGACAACGACCACGTCCTCGGCCAGAGCCTCGAGAAGTTTCGCAAGGCCTCCGACTCGTACACTGTCATCTACCTCGCCAGCCCATCTGAGCCAACTTACCAGGCCGAGTTCCCCGAGGAGCCCCTTCACGCCGAGCTGAAGCGTCACGAGGCCAGCCTGTTGCAGGTCCGCAAGGACAAGAACGAGACCAAGTGGGAGAAGCTACCCCTGTTCGAGAAATACGTCTTCTTCTCTCCTGGTACGTCTCGTCTTTGGATTTGGTGGACTAAAGAAATGCTAATGTATATGCAGGCATCTTCCACGCCCTGGTGGCAGCCATCGTCCTCTTCTCCATTCTCGGCGTTGGCATCAACGCCCTCGCCAGTCTCGACATCCCCTACGGATCTTTCGAGAAGGAGATGGGTCCCGCCGCCCAGAAGAAGAACATCTAGATGTATACCACCCACGCGCGATCGGGAACCTCAAACGTTTTCACGGCGCTCGTATCGCGGCATGTATTTTCTTTTTGACATCATGGGAGTTTACTCGGTAGGCATGTTTAAAGCAAGGGGAAGGAACGTCACAGGTCCACAGCTGGATCGAACCGAAATGATTAGAGCAATGGCTGTCGGGGTTCGTTAGTGAGTGACCTCGTCGTTGTTCCGCGAATGGCATGAATGTATTCTATAAAATGGACTTTTTCCTTGTTCTCTTTGCAGCCGCCTCCCAAGTTTTCATGATGTGAAACTCCGTAAACGCCTGTTGGCCGTATCTAGTCCGCGGCCACCGCAATCATGGGTCTTCAAAACGTTCCTCCCCCGTTCCGTCATGCCGCGAAGCCAAAATGACTCATTCAACGTCCTTTCGCCCTCATCTTCCTTGCCGTTCATCATGCAATACGCTTAGACAAGGTGGCTTGGCAACAAGAAGTTGGCGATACCTTCGCGGATGGCGTACTCGTGCCCACAGTTGCCGCAGACCAGCTTGCCCTCCATGATCTGCGTCTCCATGAGCAGGTGGTGCAGGTCCTTGAGCATCTTCTCGTCGCCCTGGAGCTGCTCAGCTGAGGGGGGCTCAGCAGGAAGTTCGGGGAAGCCCAGCTGTGAGTAGTGGTCAGCGCATTGCTCATTCATTTAATCGTGTATGAGATTTTTTCAGCAGTGTCCGAAACGGTCGTCGCCGGCGCGTGTGCTCAACGCAACCCTGCTACCATGGTGTGACTGTGGAGACGAAAAAACAGAACAGACGGGACAGAATCTGTCTACTTTGGGACCCAGGTGTAAAAGAACAAAAGTAAAGAACAATATGTAAACTTACCTCAGTCGCATTCGTTCGCAGTGCGGCCCAGTCTAAGCGGGGCAGGACGTTGAGTAGCAGCTGGGGGTTGACCTCGATGTCGTCTTCCACCAGCTCTGCGTCCTTGGGGTGGAGGGGAAACGAGGCCGCCGAGACCTTGCAGGCCTTGGCCGCGCAAGTCAAGAAGTTGAGACTGAGAAGCTTCATTTTGGGCAGGTGCAGGAGTGACTTTTGCAGCGAAATCTTGTCTGCTTCTCGTTGCGCTTGTCTGAGTCGAAGTTTTAGGCACGGGAAATTTTTGGGCGACCCCACACGTGATGCACTTTCGCATGTGGGCGTCCCAGCTATTGGACTGATCTCATGGAGAACTTAAAGCCAATCTCAAACTACAATTCAACGTCACACATGCACTCAGTAGAAAAATATGCCTGGCTGTTCTGCTGTTCTTGCTGGACAGTTTTTGTCTTGATTTCTTTGCTTATCGTGGAAACTGCCGCGTATTCCTCCACTATCATCTAAGCCATCGTCTTCTCGTAGCCGACATCCTCCTTCGCGGCTCTGTTCTTGCTGACCTTCATGTAGACAGCGATGAGAGCAACAACGACGCCAAGGAAGAAAGCCTTCTGGAGGAGGGACCAGCCCTCGCCGGAACCGACCTCCAAGGGGGCATCTTCGTTGGAGTAACCTGAAGCAAACTCGCTATGGCCGTATTCGCCTGCAGCGCCAGGGGCGTAGCCATCAGCACATCAACACTCTTGGATTTGTATTTGGATTCTTGTCGGGAGGAATGAACGACTGCGGGGACATCGATGGTGTGTGTACATGTCTCGTGTGTAACATGCGTGAAAGTGAGGGCGACGGGAGTCACAGTACGTGCTCAGAGTTCCACGTGGATACCTTCAGGGGGAACCTCCAGCTCTCCGCTCTTGGCAATCTTGATAGTCTTGACGGGGCGGTCGCCAGGCTGGGTCTCAGCCTGCTCGATCTTCTCGACGATGTCGTAGCCCTCGAGGACCTCGCCGAAGACGACGTGGCGGCCATCGAGCCAACTGTGAAGGTCGGGGTTAGCTTAGGTTTCACTATATTGATCAGGACGGCGTCTCACGAGGTGATGACGGTAGTGATGAAGAACTGGGAGCCGTTGGTGTCCTTGCCGGCGTTGGCCATGGACAGGAGACCCTTCTTGGAGTGCTTGAGCTTGAAGTTCTCGTCGGCGAACTTCTCGCCGTAGACTGCGTCGTTGTTAGCCGGTAGCCAAGAGCATTCCCCAGTGGTACTACTCACTGGACTTGCCACCGGTGCCGTCGCCCTTGGTGAAGTCGCCACCCTGGATCATGAACTGCTTGATAACGCGGTGGAAAGTAGATCCCTCGTAGCCGAAGCCCTTCTCGCCGGTGGCGAGAGCGCGGAAGTTCTCAGCGGTCTTGGGGACGGTCTTGCCGTACAGACCCATGACAACGCGACCAAGGGGCTCATCGCCGTGGGTGATGTCGAAGTAGACCTTGTGGGTGATCTTGGGGCCCTTGCCGGCCTCGGCCGTCTGGGCGAAGAAAGCCAGCGCCACGCCGGCAAGCAGGAGGGCGGAGACGAGTCTCCGAAGGTTGAACATGGTGGGCGATACGATCCGGGGTATCTAGACACCAGGTCGATCAATTGGGGTTGAGGAAGTTGATGCGGGATGTCTTCTGGGATGGGAAACCAGAGGACAGGTTTGTGTTTAAGTAGGTCAGTAAGAAGAAGCACACCCCGGGAGACGGAGACTGGGAAGGGCGGCTTTGAAGCTACGTTTCAAACTCCCCTCTCTGAAGCACCGAATAAGGAACTCGAGCTCGGACCCTGGTGGCCGAGACTGCCCAATGGGGAGACGCAATCCGTCCAAGTGGATGCGCCTCTCTTGAGAACTAAGGGGTCTGGCGGATCTGTCAATGCAGCCACACTGCCCGCTCAAGGCCGCCGCTCTTGGGATCCACTATTTTCCGGCGCCGACTCTCCGTGCAACGTTGATGATTTCGAAAGTTCGTGATTCGGTCGCCAATCCAAAGAGGCAATTTTGATGGTGCAGCAGCAGTTCTTGAAATCCACAGCGACAAACCGGCAAAATGGTATGACATGCACTTTTTGACGCTCTCAATTAGCTTACCACTAACTTGGTCTGCAGGTTTTCATTCTGGGTGTCAACTTTTCTGAGCAGAAGCTCGTCAAGGTAAGGCCTCTTCTTCGACCGATGCAAACCACACCCATGCTGCGACAATGCTGATGCGCCTCGCCTCTACAGAAAGCTCTTCAGTCCTTCTACGCTCTCGGACCGACCACATCAGAACGCATTCTCGCCAAGTACTCGATCCACCCTCTCGCAAAAGTCGGCTCCCTCGCCCCCAGAACAGTCACGGCCCTTACGGCAGAACTGTCAACGATGACGATAGAAACCGACGCGCGCAAGATTATCAGGGAAAACATTGGAAGACTAAAGGACATGGGTTCCTACCGCGGAAGACGACACGCCATGGGTCTGCCCACAAGAGGACAGCGCACAAGAACCCAGATCGAGACGGCGAAGAAGCTGAACCGCGCTAAGAGATCCTTTTAAGAGACCTTGAGGGCAGGTACGAGACGGGGATTTTGATGGCAAAAATGGTTTGGAGTTTACGAGATGGGCCGCCGACACATGAGACCATCGGGTGTACAAGATAGACACGAGAGCGCAACCGCGCCCGGAATTGTATGAATATGATCAACTATACCACTTGTACTATGGCACGTGGACGTCCATGCTGTCTGAGACGACGAAAGCTATTATACAACTGTGCAAGCTCGGATTCGGTGTTTACTCGAACTCCAGCTTCGGCAGGTCATCCTCCAGAACGGGTGCGCCCTCCTTCTGGAGCTTAGCGGCGACAACTTCAGCGTCCTTCCAGACGCGAATGATGTTGCCGCCAACAACCTTGGCCGCGTCTTCGTCGCTAAGCCCCTCCTGGAGGAGCGCGGCAACAAGGTCGGGATACTTGGAAACGTCCTCCAAGCCCTTGGGGACGGAACCAATGCCGTCGAAATCAGACCCGAATCCAACGTGGTCGAAACCGATGAGGTTGCCAATGTGAAGAACATGTCTCACAACCTGATGCAGCGTCACGTTGGCGGGGTACAACTCGGGAACACCGTTCTCCCTCCCAGCGTCGACGCAGGAGATGAAGTCGGGAGCGAAGTTGACCATCACGATTCCGTTGTTCTCCTTAACCAACTTGAGCACGTCATCCTTGACGTTGCGCGGGTGAGGGCAGACGCTGAAGGCGGAGCTGTGAGAGTACATGATGGGAGCCTTGCTTCCCTCCCATCCCTTGCCACCAAGAACGTCGCGCTGGGTATCCTCACTGGTTCATGATAAGGTTAGCCAGACCTCAGCTTGTCATGTGGAGGCACGTACCTGGTGTGCGAGAGATCGACAAGCAGACCAATGCGGTTCATCTCGTGGATGACCTGGCGACCCAAGGGGCTCAGACCGTTCCAAAGGGGCTCTGCCTTGCGGAAGGGACTTTCGAGGAGCGCGGCATCAGCAAATTTGTTATGACAGTTGTGTGTGAGGGTTGAGTAGCGGACGCCCAAAGCGTGGTATCGGCGAAGGTTGGTGACGCGGTTACCAATCTGATGAAGACCCTCAACTCCAAGAGGAGAAATCAACTGGCCCTTTGCGAAAGCCGCCAATGCCTCGTCGCTGTCAAGATTAGGTGAGAAGTCCTTGGGGTAGGCTTTCTTGATACGGGTCATGACGTCAATTTGGTCAAGAGTCCATTGGACGCCTATGATGACGCGTTAGAGACCGCTTGAATGAACCACAGTTGGGAGACTTACTCTCGGCGTAATTTCCGTCAGAGAAGTCACTGCCGTTGGCCGGGCAGGGAGTGTACACGCTCCAGAAGGCACCGCCGTTCTGGCCCTTACGAAGTCTAGGAAGATCCACATGTGCAACCATGCCGCCGTTCTCAAAGGGCTCGGTGAAATTCTTGTCGTAAATATGGTTGCCATACACTGCTCGCACAAGAATGGGAAGATCATTGTGTCCATCTAAGTCCAACGTCAATAGGCACTCAATGACACCGGACGACCTGTCCGCTTACCAATCAGTGGGTTGTGGTTGAGGATATTTTGAGCCCTCTCCTGAACCGTAAGAGGCGGTCCCCAAGGCTTCCTAGATCGATGGCCACACGCCTTCATCTTTTGGCCCAGAAGCATGTAAGAAACGAGGAGCAGCAAGACTCCGGTCACAGCGAGCTTCTTCGCGGGTGAGGGGCCTCGGCGGGCTGGCCGGGGGCCCTCCTCATCGAAGACACGATGCTTCTCATCCATGATTGAATTAAACGTGAGAAAGGTGATCAGTTGAGCCCCAAGATCTCGCTGTATTGTATGGTTTGAAGTGCCTTCGATGAGAGTTCGTGGCCAGCGGTTGCTTTGCTTTGCTTTGCTTTGTCCCAATAGATAAGAAATGAGCCGTTTTATCTTAGTCAGATATGGGAGTCCAACTATTCCGCCAATCCTGTCAGGAGGGACTTTGGATCGCCAAGTTTCGCAGAAGAGACCAAGATGCTGCGTTTGTTGCGCAGACCCAGCTTGAGTCGATGCTTGGTCGATGATTCCTAATCACGCAAGAGGGAGCTGGGCCGGGGTCCTAGCTCCCAGAGCGATTGCGTTATCTGAGGTGCGAGCTCAGCCACAGTAGCAATAGCCATGGTTCATCGGCCTTTGAAACACCCCTGTAAATTTGGAACTTGAACCCTGGAACTATCACAGCAGTTGTTTGATTCCGATGATAGACATTCGATCATTGTCATTATGGATATCAAGACTCAGTGTTGAAGTCAACCAGATTGTGCAACCAAGTCGTGGTACTAATGGAGTGTGACCAATCACAATGCGCGAAGTGTATCCAGCCAACCAAAAGGCACAGCTGAGACATCTGTAAGTCAAATATCGCATGTCTCTGCTGCCTTCTCTCACACTCTCCGGCTTGCTTTCTGCTAAGGTTTTTTCGGATGATTCTCTTACTTGTCGCGTGATTTGCCTGCTGTCTAGCCTTCTTGTCCTCTACTTTACACCCTAAGTGATAAACACCCGGGATAGGCGCGGGAAGACTAGGGAGAACAGCAGTAGAGACAGCCAGGAAATGGGTGAACAGCAACAGGCCAGTAAATTAGTAGACAGACACACAGACAAGTGCCGCTGTGTATCTCAATAACTTTAATTATAGACCATCATAGGAACAGTAGGTGCACCGGCAGCCCTTGTACAAGAAGACAGAAAAAGAAGGCCCAGGAGAGTACTGGCCACTCAAAATCGGAGCGATCAATCCATCTCATGAACCCCATTCCGCCCCGTACTCATCCACGATCTGCTGGCAGTAATTATTCCACTGCGCATTCCACTCGCGAATGCGAGCGCCCTTCACACTTGGTGCATCGGAACCAAGTGTAATACCCAGCTCCCAGTCCTTGTCATTCTGGTCCTCAAAGTTGGACCATCGGAGACTGTTCTGCGCCAGTGCGCCCTGTTATGGCGTGTCAGAATGGCCCGTCGGCATACAAAAAGAGGGTGGGAGGAGCTTCATACCAGTCCAGCAAGTCCAACATTGTCAAAACCCTGTATGACTTGGTAGAAATCAAAACTCAGGCCGGCTGAGTCTTGGCCCAGCATCGCTGGATCATCATTGCTGATGGCCGTGGGGACGCCATGCGCAATCATGGCCGGGAGAGGATGGTGGAGAATATCCGTCGCCAGCCGAAGGACCTCGTTCGAGACGGGGCACACCTCGACCATGACGTTCTTCTTGACGGCTTGATCAATCAGCATTGGATGTTTATATAACGAGAAACCGTGGCCGATTCTCCGTGTGCCCAGAAGAAGAGCATCAAACAGGTTGTCGTCAGTCGAATTTCCATCTCCAAGGGTTTCGCCTGCGTGGAAGAAGAACGGCAGTGTGACATCATGTCTCCTGGCCTCTTCTTGAAACCAAAGCAGCTCCGGGGCCATGTCCAACAAGGTGCGTCCCAGATCCTCTTGAGCAACGACGTCGTATCCGCTGAACAAGAGAGGGAACTTCTTTTTCATGGCAAACAGATCGGTCATGCCTGCGACTCGGGAGTCAGTCTTTGACATCTCGACAACTGGAAACATGGTTGAACGATTCACTCACTCTCTTTCAGCTTAGCTTGCGTCTTGCTTCGCGAGTCGGACCAGATGACACGGGCTCCATGGAATGGATGCGTCGTGTTTTCGGTTCGAGTGCTGGTGAAATTCTGAAGCTCGTCGTTCATGACCGTCCACCACACACTTGGATCATTCGTAGCATTCACCTGGTTCTGGGGCACAAGCTTTCCGCGGGAACCTCCAGCGCGTATCTCAACCCAACTGATTCTGTTCTCAGCGAGCTTGTTGAACAGAAGCTGCCAGAACCTGCGCACGATGGGCTCGTAAGTCAGCATTGTACCCGCAGGTTCGAAGGCGGATTGGAACTTCTTCCAGATGTCGTCAACGCCGAGCTCGTGGTGCGTGGCCTCCTCTGGCAGGACCACCATCTTGCTCTTGACAAACTTGCGGAATTCTTTGGAACCACCGTCTGGGTACTGGTCGGCTGCAGCCTTGACATCCATGTAGATTTTCTCGTTGGTGGATGTGTTGTAAGGTTGGTACTCCGCCGCGTAAACGTTGGCAGGGTTGGCAGCGCTCTTGAAATCCTTACCACGGTAGGAGAACTCAAACTTGGAGTTATTGCGAGCCTCCGGGCTGTTGAGACTTTGCGATGCCCAGAATCCCATGTTTTCTGTCTCCATGACCACGTCTAGCAAGGCATCGTAAGGGAGCATGGCAGTCAGGTGGGCGTGCAACAACGCGCCCTTGGGCATACCATCGACGATCTTCCAGAGTTTCGTTTGGAGGATTGTCTCACGGGCCTTGGAGAACATTTCACCAGCGTAGCCACCATTTTGACGCCAGATTGTGTTGGTTTCGTTCAGTCGAATGGCTCTGGTGATGTTGTCTGCTTTCCCACAAACCTCAGAAAGGCTTTTCCTGAATTGAGCATCTACACTACCAGTCAGCGATAACTCCGAATTAGTTTTCTACCAGGGGCGTGACCTTGTCTCTCTGTATCCTCCAGTTGCATCAGAGCTGCACGCGCTGTCTCGTGTTGCTTGATGATGATGCTGTCCTTGGACGGAATCTCATAGACCCATTGCCGCGAGGCAGGGGCGGGTTTAGCTAAAGGGATTGCATAACCTAATGACGGGGAGGCAAAAGCCAAACCAGCTAGAAGACTGGAGAAATACATTGTGCGGCCGGCGCTCGAGGTAGTCGAAGGTAGTCTGGCGACTTGGGAAGGTTGTCATGATTTCGAGGTCAGGGCCGTCCCTTCCACTTATAGTCCTCCGGCCTGGGAAAACGTCCTCGAGAATTTTCATAAGAAACCATCGTCCGCGAAACCAAAACACAGCTTACCGATTGACAGATTAGCCAGCACAGCATTAACCGATGTCTCCGCTTGCCCGCATTCTTCCCGTCTATTGTACTCTGATAATTTGATGCATCGCCAACCTCCGGCTGCGGGTCTCAACTGAGACAGACGTGAAGTCGCAAGCATGATACCCCGCGTGTTCATCTGGGTCTCCAGTCTGTCATATCGGTGGTAGTGCACAAGTCAAGCGCGCCAGCCGTGGTTTCCGTCGGGTCATTGAGACTGAGGCACCGTTTGCATGTTGAGATGCGGCCTTCCCTAGGGTTTGAGTCCCGCCGAGCTCCATGTGGCGGGCTGAGAAGTCGGAATAAAATGGCCTAAAGCGGTGAGTAAAAAGCGTGACAGGGCGTCTGCCCATGTCTAAGACATGCCCATTGAGACACGGGGTCTAATGCAAGTCTAGCCACTTTAATTGTTTCTATGGTGAACTCCTCCATCTGTCGCTCCCTACCTTGTTTATTGCGAGATATTTCGAAAGACAGGAAGGCTCGTGAATGACAGATATAAAGAAAGAGAGACCAAAAAAAAGGAATCACGCTTTTCATGGCCCTCACGTGTTTCGAACGAGCGCCCCTCTCAGACTCAGATTGCATCTCTAGAGAAGAATTTGTTTGAGCTTTTGCTCTTACCAACTGGACCAAGTGGTCCAGTCGAACTGTTGAAAGAACACGAGACGAAAGCTGCCCAAGTACCTGACCTTGGTTCCTGGTGGAAGGAGCGGAGCTCGCTGGTCGAGAGGGAAGGAGGCAGCTGCCAGTTGCGACTTCCTTAAGAGGAGAGGTGAGCGAATTCCAGCTCGGAAAGCAAGGTCTGCATATATTGCCCCGCACGTAACAGGCAAGACATGCTTCGATCTTCCACTCGAGAACTCGAACTACGTCCTCGGGTAAACAGATCTATGACTAGACAGAAGGTGCGGAAGTAATCTAACAGCAGGCCAAGCCGGCTATCGGGTTCCAAGACCGTAGTCGAGGAGCATCGATCGGCGGACGTTGCACTCTGACAGCGGGTATCTCGTAACTCGGCGTCATGCTGTTGACGTTACGAGTCTGTACGATCTCGGGCCGGGCCCTGGCAGGAAATCAGATGAGCCGTGTCTCTCGAGCTGCAGGTCTTGCTTCTTCCGCTCGGCTTGTCCCGCCGTCGGGGAATCAGGGCTGTAGCGGTCAACGGAGGTGCTGGTGTGCACCTGCTACTAACAACGATGTCTTGCCTTGCCCATATGAAGGCCGCAACTGGCCGTGAAAGTTATTGGTTTACGAGCAAGACTGATTTGGGTAAGACCGCGACTATTCGGGCCGGCTGGTAAGTGATAAACTGCATAAGACATGAGATCCGGATTGGAAACCAGCAGTCACCTTGATATGAGAGCGTGAGAAGCTGCTCGGTTGCTGCAAGAGCTACACATCTGACCTCTGAGGCTTCCCAATCTTTCATGCGCAGCCGAGTGTTGGGAAAACCCCGCCACCGAATTGCCAAGAGTAAAGCGGCCGTCAAGCTGCTTCGAGTCTTGCGCTAGGTGGACCTCTGAGTTGACATATGTGTGGCTCGATCTCGCTGTACTGCGTAGTATGTTCGTTTCTTATTCGCTTCTGTCGAGGAACCAACGGATAGATCTGTAGTACTACACTATTGCCGTAATTGTAAGATGAAGATGTTGAGCTCTCTTTCCGGTTCCCTTCACCAAACCCGGATCGTTACAATTGCTCTCATTACGTATTCTGTTTGCGTCACACAACAAGCTGTAGACACGAGACTCTTGCTAATGTGTATCGGTGTGGTCTCCATCTTGGATGGTGATGTGCGTGTCAACGAATCTGCAGTATTTGTCAGTACGACGAACCACTAGGCAATAGACCTTTGGCCCAGGTCGCAATATCCCGACCAAATCTGTGCGAAGCAGGGTGTGCTAATTCATACCGAGCACGGGAGTATCCGTGGACGTTTTTGTCGATATCTGGGATGCAGTTCCCGCGACCCCCTTTGAGCTGGAATCGAACCCTTTAACAGCAACATTGAAGAAAACCATATCGAATGTGCATGTGGACGACAGTGATTGGAGGAAAAGGGCATGATATCACGAGAAGAGCCATGGACAACCGAAGGCTTCTCGTGACATTGAACATTTCTTAGCGTGTGGATGACATATGGTCGGATCTATCTGTGAGTGGGAGGCGAGATGTCTCCGGATATTCGAATTCAACAGGTGCGATGCCAAAGACCCTGTCTTACTCCTTATTGAAGGTATTCAGAACGTCCTCAGAGTCGACAACTTAGCATGAAACAGGGACATACCGCATTCCGATAGCTTTGACCAATCTTCGACTACGTTGCGTCTCACTTGAGAAAAGCAATGGTTTCTGAAATACGTGTTGGAGGCATAGGCGCATGAAGAGTGATATAACGAGGAATTGAGATCAACTGCATGTCGTCGATGCATTGATTACGGATATCGTCCCATTTCAGAGCAAAAGCACGTCCCTTGTGAGCACAGGGACGGGAATAAAGCGTGCGTTCCCTGATCCGAAAGCTGAGCTTGACCGACAGACAGACACTCCGTGCCGACCGCTGAATTAGCATTTCGGGAACGGACCATGTCGACGGGACACCTCCGACATCCATGGTGACTTCGGATGATGGATGGCTCTTGCGCCCGACCTACCCCAGGCGGCACCTGGGCTGTGGACGTGGTTCTCGTGTGATGGAAGCCCGAGGTGGATAGAGGGGAGAAATACGGACCGAGATGGAGCCAATTCTGATTTCTCCATGGCGGACCAGGTTAATATAGCTATTAATAACGGTCTTGGTCGTCTGGGGAACTGATCGGGCTGTGACGAAGGCTCAGGGGTAACAAAAGGCGCTCGCTGATCAAGGAAACGCAGATCAGCAGCAGGTCGGGGATGCTCGTACGGGTACGAATACAGGTATCACCACCAAAAGGAACAAAGGACAAAGCAGTCAGGACGAGGACCAAAGGACGAGGACGCCTTGCCTCAATCGAGAAACGATGCGATCAGCGAGGGAGGATGAAACCTGATCCTGGGGTGCATGATTTGTGAAAATGATCCTTAATACTGCGTCAAATTGGCGGCGGTAGATGGCATGGCGGTCAGCCCTGTAGGAACCACGAGCGTTGAACCTTAGCTTCCCGTCTTCCATGGCCGCCCGGGAAAACCAGCAAGTGGTTGAGCCCTGCGGCTTCCACCAAGGTGCGTTGCCCTGTGCGTGTGGGCTCCTCGCCTGAATCTCTTCAGCTGGGAGCGGCCCCAGAATTCTGCAACAGAGACGAATGCAGGGGCTCACACAGCCCAGAGCTGTCGGGTTAGTGCCGTTATCGAGGTCGTAAGTTCTCATTCCCACAGGCCACAGTGGAGGTGGCAGACAGCCCTCAGGTCAAAGTCGGCTTGCTTGGCTGCCTCATTCAGGGTCATTTGCTTTTGTGTGGAGCACACGGGCAACGCCTCAGAGGCTCACAGGCACCGCGTGGGGGGTCCAGGGTCGCCTGTGGATGGATGTCTACCAGTCAGATGAGGAACACTGTGAGGATGGTGAAGGAGTGGAACACACGGGGAACGCTGTGAGTGGCTGGCGGACCGACACCGTGGGATGGCTGTGTATTTTTGGCTTCAGATGGCCCGAGATGCCAGCAGCGTTCGTCGGGCTGGCGATGGAGCCAATCCAAGGCCACGTCTGCAGCCCGCCAGCTGCTGGCCCTTGGTAATGGGAACGGCTGTCTTTTTTCTCCTCCTTCCAGGGCAGCCACGCAGGCACCGCACCACAGACATTGGATTGGCGTTGCCCCTCATCTCTGTGTTGGTGTTCGCCCATCGTGTTCCCTGCTTTGCCCTGCTGGCCCTGTCGAACCTGGGCCATGGCCTGTGCGGATTGTTGGGTTCGGTTGGCATCGACAGCCAGCCCAGCCCAGCCCAGCCCTGCCGTGTGCTTGCTGGCTTTGATGCCGTGTCACTGGTCCCATCTCTTGTCGCTGAGGGTGGTTTGGAGCTTCACTGACTGACAACCTGGCAGCAATCCAAGCAAGCTGTTTCCATTGCCATTACCTTCTGCGGAGACCGAGGGACGCACACCGGGAACGCACACCACACCTGCAGCAGAGCAGCAGTATCTTCCTTATCCCGTCTCCTTCTTCCTCCAGGTCCAGTCGAACTTGCCGTCTTTCCATTTCTGCCCCCAACCTTCAACCTTGAACCTTGGACCTGTCAGCAGCCAGCCTTTTTCTCTTCCTCCAAAATTTCCTCCAGCTTGCATGTGCCCCTGACCACCAGAAACGCCCTCCACGACCTCTTTCGCAACGGCGCCTTCTCGCTCTCTGTCTTCTGCCTTACTGAGCATCCCGTCCTTCCTCTCACTTTTCTTTGCCTTGTGTGTCCTCTATCGCCTTTCGTTCTGCACCGCGGCCGATCGCCGTTGACGTATTCTTTCGCTTCTCGCATC